TGAGCCAGCAGTTTGCTCTTAACAACTAAAACTAGTCACTGCCTTCATGACACTTCTACAGTTAACGAAGTGGCAGTCAATGACACTAATTATTCTAAGGAAATAATCGTTAGGCTCATCAATCACTTAGGCTCATCCATGTTATGGACTGAATGTTTGTGTCCCCTCCAAAATGTGTATGTTGAGGGCCTAACCCCGATGTGAGGGGATGAGGTTTAGATGAGGTCATGAGATCCTTTCTCATGAAGGACCTTCGGTGAAGTCTGCACACCAAGGAGAGGCCTCTCACCAAGAGCCAAAGCTGCTGGCACCCTGATCTTGGCCTTCCTAGCTTCCAGAACTGTGTGAGAAATACATGTTTGTCGGTTAAGTCACTTACTTAGTCTGATATTTCACTATCGCAGCCCAAGCAGTGTAAGTTTTTTCCTTAAACAACCTCCATGACCCATCGGGGAATGGAGGTCTGACAGGATATTCCAGAATGCTGTGATCCTGAATATCCATGTGTCCTTTCACTCTCTTGACTGACTCACCAGGCCTGCTGTCAGGCACGGGGCCAGGCACTTGAAGGAGGGGACACTCCAGCAGAGCCCCTGCCTTACAGAGCTGGCATTCAAAAGGGGCAGGAAACATCGAATAATCAGCCCCATTGCAACAGGGAAGGGCTTATGAAAAACAGGAATGTGGTGGCATAAGAACGTACAAGAGGGGAACCTTAGTCCTGAAAGTGCAAGCTGGCTTCCCTGAGAAAGTGACACTGAAGGCCTCCGCAGGGGTGACTTAAGTGAATGGGGTGGGGGGGAGAGTGCTGTGCTCGGGGCAAGGGGACTAGGCAGGAGCAAGGGCGTGAGGCAGCGAGAGTGAGAACAGGGAGGTCCCCGCAGCTGAGGGCAGTGACTGAGCAGGGCCCGGGTTGGTGTCTACAGAATTACTCTTACAGCGATACACAGAATGGATCGAAGGGAGAGAATTTAGAGAAATCCTATTTTAGCCTCAATTTCTACTTCAAAATCAGCTATGCTCACTGGAAAAAAGTTCCCCCTTGGAAACATCAGAAGCTAAATGTATGAAGTTGGGCACCCGCCTCTGAGATCCGGAGCACCCCGCAGCTCCGCAGGGCTCCCTTGGGCCTGCTCCCCATCACACCTGGAGAAACACACCCCCCCCACTCCCCGCGCTTTACGACAGCTGTGGGACAGCTTGCGGCAGGGGGCTGAAATGATGTCACATCAGATATGTAGAACACCCTTTCATCAATTCTGAAGTTCAGGATATTCACTTTTATGATGAATTCCAACCCGAAACTGGAGTTTTAGAAGCATGATGGCAATCACTCCCTTACCTACTGGTCCTCATCAGACCGCCTCAACGCTCCCTTGAGACAGGAAGCACCTTAAAATTTCATGTGGAAACAGTGTGTAGCTAATATAATTTCAATCTCCTAACAGAAAGGAATAGCTGTGAAGTTAAAAGTAGATATAAAAAAACTCAAAAAACACAAACATCCAGATCATTTAGGTTGGGGGTAAACATGACCTGAAGGTATGCTATACCATAGAAATTTATTGATAAACTGACTATACTAAGTTTATACTCAGTAGGGAAAAGTTTACTTCATTTGAGAAAAACCATTAAAACACAAAATGCTTTGCAGTTAAGCTATCTAGAAAGTTAACTTATCTGGAACTCCTCTTGACCAAATAAGATGGATAGATGAAGTACTGTTCTACCTACAAAGTTATCAGGTGAAGGTGCTAAAGAGTCAAAGTAGTACGCTAAATGTTTTCTCAACAAAAAGATAAACTTAAACCACAAAAAAGTGCTAGTAACCCTAACCCAACCACAAGAGAAGACCAAATAGAATGGACTTAAAAAAAACAAAAAAAAACCCACCCAACTTTATTCCAAACAGAATTAGCAAAAGAATGTCAACTGACACATTTAACAGGTTTCATTTAAACTCAGTCACAAAACTCAAAAAATATAAAACAAAAACAGCTTTGTGTGCTTAGCCACTTTTAATACTGAAACTTAAAAAAAAAACCCAAAACATGTAGACTCCCCCACAATCTGGGAGCCATTTAGGCAAGCAAATACTTACTATTAAACAAAAAGACAGCATTAAAAATGAAAACTTCAAATTTAAGGAGAACGCCTGTTAAGTCTTTTTGATAGGCATTTATACATACAAGAAAACAAAGAATATTTTAATTTAAAGGAGATCAAGTCTGAGTGCTCACCCTTCCTTCACATGTGATCTCCTGTCTTGCCTTCACTTGGACCGTACACGTCTCCCTCCAGAACTTCAACCACACTGACCTGCCATTTCCCCCATGGCATGATCGGCGGCCCCAAAGGCCTCCGGGTCCCATTCTGCACATCCTGTCTGCCGCCCATGATTCTATGTTTGCACAGCATGAGAATGGAGTATTACCACTGTAATCGAGCTGGAAATTTCAGGTCTCCAAAGATGATTCCAGATACACAATTTTATTGCACAGTTTACAATATATAGCAGGTGATTACATAATCAACCATAAGGTAAGAATAATATTGACTACTGAGACAAAAACATCAACTGTCTCCAAACACAAATGAAAGAAAGACACACAAATCTGCCACCTCAGAAAGGTTGTGTTTACTCTGTGATGCAGTCCTGAGGGCTCATACCACCCCAAGCGTGTTAAATAGAGAATCCATAACACATCTCTGGTGGCATCAGAGATAAAGTGTGGGAGGCAGGGCCGGAAGCTCCCTGTGCTCATAAACCATCTGTGTCACGTATGTAACAGAAAGGCCACTTTTAAAGCTCTTCAGATAGTTATTCAATCACGTCTGCCTTTTCAAAATTACTAGTTCACACTGAAAATAAAAACAAGTGGTTAGAATCTCTTATTAATAACACATTTTGACTTCTTTTAAGGTTCAGACAAAGCTGTTGGCTACCATAAGCAAGTTCTGTTGAATTTTTTTGTCAAATTTAAGAAGTCTATAGGACAACAAAAAAACATCCCTGGTCATGTATTTACAGTTTGGTCTCCAAAAGCTGTAAAAAGTGACAAAGAAATCCAAATATATTATGAGTTAAAAACATTAAAAATATTTGTTTTTAAACGCCACAAGTTTGAGATTGCAGAAACCAAAGCATCCCCTTTCAAATTCTCACTTGTATTTCACCAAAGTGCTTTAGAACTTAGGTTATCTGTCACCTCACAGGAGTGTATAATAGACAAAAGGAAGCCCATCCCCAAGCCATGACCCCAGGCTAACTCACCTGCTGCAAGGTGTGGGGGGCCCTGGGCCAAGCACCACCACTGACCACGGTGCCTTTGTCATTCATTTCCCCAAAACTCAACCCTTTTCAAAGCCAGACTCTTATTCAGTAAGCCAAAGGATGCTACTCACGTTTATTTGGTGTCAAATCCTTTCTTTCTGAAATCCTCACCTCTGCATCTTGGTTTCCAAAGTAAACTGCCATTTCCAACACAACATTTTCAAGCAGGGCTGTTGTAAAGTTACTGAGCCTCATTACTGCCTGCCAAGTGCTTGATAAAGCTTCCCAATCCTTTATGGTTGGAAGGATACTTATTTGACCAGTCATATGGCATTTAGAGGTAAACATTTCTTTTGGACTATCTGCCCAGAAACTGAGTAAACTACCAACTGAGACCCTGATTTTATTTTGGTCAGTGTGTGCATATAGTCATATGCAATTACCCAGAATGATGAAAAACTGGTATTAAGAAACCTAACTACTCTGCCATGTCAGATGTTGGCAATCTTACCTACATATTTACAGATGTAGATTTTTAAAAGATTGATAAACTATTTTTCTAGAATGTTTCAAGTTTTATTAATCATTCAATCAGTAAAGAGAGGCATTTTGCTTCATCGATCTGGAAAAAATATTTTAAGAATCTGATTCCTTTGACAAGTAAGTTTTTCTGTCACCTAAGGGATGAGTATGCAATGCAGCCTTTACAAACTAGTAGCATTTAAAATTAACCCTCCAAATATCTTTATCTCAAACTATCTTACTGTTTTAATGATAACATGATAAAACTGGGTTCCCAAAATGTAAAAATCCTAATAGAGGTCTCTATTTCCAAGAGTCAAATAAAAAAGCTAACACTGGGGTGAAAGCTAGCCTGAGGTTTGTTTTTTCCCCGTCTGTAATGCTTAGAAGCCAGGAGAGAGAAATCTAGAATCCTGTCAATATACTTCCAAAATACAATTTTATGGAAATGTTTTGTTTTTTTTTTTAAGGAGAGTTTTAAGAAAACAGGATACTTCAATATGACAAACTATGACTCAAAGAAAAAACACTCCCCAAACTCCCAAAGCTCCTGAAGTTGGCAACAATTAATCAAAAAAACTGAATTAACCAGTCTGCAATTAATATGAAATTTCTTCACATGAAGAAACGCCTGTAATGAACCGTAAGTCTCCCCATGTTTTGGCAATAAGTGAAATTAACTTAAGGACATCTGGGGAGGGTTTAAGATCACATTCAGAACTAAACACAAAACCTTGCAACCTGATAGCAAAATGGGAGCTTTGACTAGCTGCTTGGTTCTGCCACACCATGTCTGAATAGTCTAGATAATGGCTATCCCAACAGGTACTTAGTTTCAAAAGTAATACAAGCAATTTACCTTAAAAAGCCTACACCTAATAAGCTGTTCTGCTCCTCTGTTCTTTGTCCTACATGTACATGCTTATGTTTAACGAAGACTACCCTTTGCAACTCCTAAAAGCAAAGCAAGAAATGGAGCAAGAGAAGGAAGCCTGAGAATTCATGAAGCTCTAAGAGCCTTTTCTCTGGCTGGTCATGGCCACTGACATTTCAATACAGAAGATTTATTAAAGACTTTTGGGAAAAAGAATCATACCTTGGCTATTAGTTTTCCTTGTCAAAAGCAGTCAGATAGACAGCTATTAACGAGGCAATTAGCCTAAAGTTCTCAGATAATGAAAAAAAACCAAAAACCCCTTACATCTTCCTATTAGAACCTTTTATTCTGAATTTGTTGGTGCTTCAAGAAAACAGCTTTGCCCATAATTCACTGTGCCCTGAACTTCTGACACCAACTCATATTTCGCCAATTAGGAACAAGGCCAAACCGTATTCTTCTTAGGTCTATCCAGTTAATAAATGGCACTTAACTGATGATTTCTTTCATATAATCTTTAACAAGAACTCATAAGTTGCATTGATTATGCCCCAAGAGATGAGGGACCGATGGTAATTCAGGTGAGCACCTCTGAAAAGATTCGTCAGCTTCCTGTCCCGCTCTAGCCAAATTTTCTGGAAAACCTTGGGAAAAGACTGAAACTCCCCACCAATCTGAGACTGCATGCGAGTTTTCACAACATTAACTGGGAAAAACAAGATTCCCAACATGGCCCCCAACAGACCTCCACAGATAAAATCATTGACCAAATGTGCGCTGTGAGTCGTTGCAGTAGGCAGATGCTCCTTAATGGGACCTCGAAGGCCAAAGAAAAGGACATTGCTGAATCCATTACGGAAAAGAACAGGCACCAAGCCTCGATAATACTCTCTAATTCCATGGCATCTGAGCGCCTTGAAAGCCTGGTAAGTGTTTGTAAATTTGTCATGATGCTTGTGGTCTTGAAGCAACGTCTGAACTCTTTCCAACGGAGTGAAAATTGCTTCTGTTGTCCCCGCGAGGACTGCGGCCACACTGCGGGTCGCAAACTCAGGGGTACTGATGTGCTTTCGGAGAAGGCAGGATAAGTCCTCGTACAGCCCAAACATAAGCGCCAGCGTAGTTGTCTTCTGCATCAGTGGGGGCAGGATCCCACGGTACAAGTTTCGAAAGCCGTCCCTCCGCAACTGAAGCACCGCGTCCCGGGTTTTGAGGCCATACAGCTGCTGCCGAAAGAGCACCTTCTGGATGGGAAATGTGAGTGCTACGTTGTTGAAAGCCGCACAGCAGCCGCACAAGTAATGCTTCATCTCACCAACATTAGCAATATGAGGGGACAGATCTTGTTTTGAAGAGGTCAGGATGGGTGGCCTCTTTTCATGAGCTTCCGAATCCACCATGTTGCTTAAGATCTTTCTTCTTCATGAAGGATACTTTTAACCTACAAATAACAAAATGACAGTAGTAGCTAAGCCATTATATACAGGGCTAAACACGTGGAATTTTTCCTTATTTCCTCAACCCTTCAATTTCTGGACACTCACATGTTCCCTGTTAGACTACATCAGTAGTTGTGACAGCACTTTCAGAGGCCCCTAAGGTCCCCGAGACCCTCGCAGGGGTCCAGGAGGTCCTTCCTTTTCCAGCCACGTACCTGTGTGAAGCTGATTTTCTGCATCTACTTTAACCAGAACAACTTCTCACCACAGACACAATGCAGACGCAGATCTTTTATGCCAGACATTACACAGACCTGCAAAACTGGAAAACAAGCTCTCCTCAGTAATTTTTTGGAAAATAGTTATTTTTCATGAAAATGTGTTATCTATGTTAACGCGTTATCTTTAAAGCAAATGAGGGGCGCCTGGTGGCTCAGTCAGTTGAGCGGGTTGAGTGTCCGACTCTTGATTTCGGCTCCTGTCACGATCTCAGGGTCGTGGAATCAGGACCTACATCTAGCTCTGCGTTCAGGGTGGAATCTGCTTGTCCCTCTCCTTCCCCCCTCTCCCATGCAATTTATCTTTAAAATAAATATATGAGTAAAATTAATATTTTTAAATTTTGATTTCTAAGACCAGAAATACTAATTCACATAAAGGCTCTTTAGGGTCCACAGTAATTTTTAGGTGTAAAGGGGTCCTGAGACCAAAATATTTGAGAACTACTGGACTAGTTCATACGTACTATACTACATAATGGTATATACCATTATCCTTCCAAAAAAGATTCAAAGTCCTCCCTTGAGAAATAAAAGAGCAAAACATGCATTCATTCATTCTGTTCACTAACACTTACTTAGTGTCTACTCTGGACTAGGCCCTCTACCAAGTGCTAGAGATTCAAGAGCAAGGAACTCATGGGGTGTCTGGGTGGCCCAGTCAGTTAAGCATCTGCCTTCAGCTCAGGTCATGATCCTGGCGTCCTGGGATCGAGCCTAACATTGGGCTTCCTGCTCAGCAGGGAGTCTGGCTTCTCCCTTTCCCTCTGCCCCTCACCCCAGCTCGTGTGCTCTCTCTCAAATAAATAAAATCTTAAAAAAAAGGCAAGGAACTCACAATTTAACAAGAGACTGCCAAGGTAAACAAATATACCCCCGTGTAAATACCTTGTATGACAAATATGTGCTATGGATAAGGGACACTGAGCATGTACTTTGGGAGGTAGAGACTGGAAGAACAGGGTCAAGGGAGGCCTGCAGGTATGTACTATACACTGTATTTTCACATATTTAATTCTCAAAACAACTCCATCAAATAAACGCTGTTTTCCCAATGAAAAAACCAACTCTCTCTCCTTTGAGGTACAGAAAGTAACTGGTGGGGCTGGCATCCTAAGTCTGTCTGGCTGCAGGGCGCATGTTCCCATGGTCATACCGAAGCATGGCAGTGACTTTGGGAGGCTGCCCTTGACAAAGTGGCTGCATCAGACTGCTAAAGATTTGAAGCCTAAATATACAGGCTTAGCCCACCGAGTAAAACTAAGGTAAAGTCCTCCCCTAGAACATACCTGCGTCCTTAAAATGGCAAGGCTACCCCTTGCCAGGCAACTCAGTCTGATTTTCTCCAAAGGATCCAAATGTTGGATCATCCAGGACAATCCTACAGCCCAGAAATAACCTTTACTGGGGGACTACATGGCAGTTTTATTGTATGTTAGATGTAACAGGCTAAATATTTTTTTTAAGATTTTTTTTTTAAGGGATCTCTATACCCAACATGGCACTCAAACTCACTACCCCAAGATCAAGAGTCACATGTTCCACCAACTGAGCTGGTTAGGTGCCCCAACAGGCTAAATATTTTTAGGTTGATTTTAATTCCTCAACAGTACAACACCACATTTATGAGACCACCCAACAAAAAATTAAATAACCCGATTAAAAATGAGCAAAGGACTTGAACAGCCATTTCTCCAAAGGAGATATACAAGAAGATATGGGACTCCACCTTTTATGCCAGACATGAAAGAAACCTACAAAACTGCCTAACAGGGGCACCTGGGTGGCTCAGTTGGTTAAGTGGCTGCCTTCAGCTCAGGTCACAAAGGTCACGATCCTGCGGTCCTGGGGTCGAGCCCCACATCAGCAGGCTCCCTGCTCAGTGGGGAGTCTGTTTCTCCCTCCCTCCTCCACCCCCTCCCCCGCTTCTTGCTCTCTCCCTCTCTCAGATAAACGAAATCTAAAAAAAACAAAAACAGGGCGCCTGCATGGCTCAGATGGTTAAGTGTCTGCCTTCGGCTCAGGTCATGATCCCAGGGTCCTGGGATCGAGCCCCGCATCGGGCTCCCTGATCGGTGGGAAGCCTGCTTCTCCCTCTGCCTCTCTCTCTCTCATGAATAAAAAAATAAATAAAAATAAATAAAAAAACAAAAAACACCAAAAAAACTGTAAAACACACTCATGCCAACAAGCATATGAAAAGATGCTCAACTTCAATCAAAAGAGAAATACAAATCAAAACCACAATGAGATCATCTCACCCCTTAGGATAGTTACTATTTAAAAAAACAAAAACAGAAAATGACAAGTGTTGGTGGAGATGTGGAGGAGAATCCCTGCGCACTGTTGGTGAGAATGCACAATGCTGCAGCCACTAAACACAGAATGGCAGTTCTACAAAAACTTACAATAGAACTAACATGTGATTCAGCAGTCCCACTTCTAGGTGTCTGTTAAGAATTGAAAGCAGGGTCTCAAGAGGCACGTGCACATCCACAGCAGTGCTATTCACAATAGCCAAGAGGTGGAAGCGACACAAATGTCCACTGATGGATGAATGGTTAAAAAAGACGTGGTATAGATACATACAATGGAATACTATGTGGCCTTAAAAAGGAAGGAAATCCTGTCACGTGCTAGGACATGGGTGAACCCTGAGGACCTTAAGTAAAAGAAGCCAGTCATAAAAGGACAAATACTGTGTGATTTCATTTATATAAAGTGAAGTAGTCAAAATCAGAGACAGAAAGTAGAATGGTAGTTGCCAGGGGCTTGCGGAAGGAGGAACAGGGAGTTATTGCTTAATAGGTGTATAAACTGCTGAGCATTCAGGACAAAAGATGTTAAAATGTAATCACTATAAAGTACAGTGCAGAGCTGAAGCACAGAAAACAATCAGAATCAATTCCTGGGGAGCTTATATCTACAGGAGCCACATATATGTAACATCAAATATGGGTGCCTGGGTGGCTCAGTCGTTAAGCGTCTGCCTTTGGCTCAGGTCATGATCCTGGGGTCCTGGGATCGGGCCCCTCATCAGGCTCCCTGCTTGGCGGAGGGCCTGCTTCTCCCTCTCCCACTCCCCCTGCTTATGTTCCCTCTCTCACTGTGTCTCTGTCAAAGAAAAAAAAACAAAAAACAAAAAACAAATATGGAACACACATCTGCAACAATAATTTTCCCTTTTGGGAGTACAGCCTAGGGAAAAAGTTATTCATACAGGATGTACACAAAGACTGAACTACAAGACAGTCGCAACAATGCTCTTGAGAAGTACTGAATAAAAATTAAGTGCTCAACAGTAAGGGGCCCACTGAATAAATGAAGATGTATCCACCTGATGGGATGTCATATATATATGATATCAAAAATAAAAGAGTATTGGGGTGCCTGGGTGGCTCAGTCGGTTAGTCTGCCTTCAGCTCAGGTCATGATCTCAGGGTCCTGGGATGGAGCCCCGTGTCAGGCTCCCTGCTCAGCGCGGAGTCTGCTCCTCCCTCTCTCTCCCCCCCCAATAAATAAAATCTTTAAAAAATGTTTTTCTGGAGGGCACCTGGGTGGCTCAGTTGGTTAA